TTTTGCTATAGGGTACATGCACTCACCAGAAAGACAGAGAGACAGAAAGCAAGAAATCACCCTGCAGGGGGGGATGGTCATGCCACAATCCCTTCTCCTCTCAGGATCTTAGGCATGCATGCACACACGTTGGGCATGAGTTTAAGCCACTGGGTCTGGGACTCAAACCACAGTTGACTACATGGGAGTCCAGTGACATAGCCATTATGCCAACTGCTGGTCCCACAATATTATGACCCATAAATATGGAATGTTTTTCATCTATTTAGATTTTTAAAAATAATTCTTTTAAAAAAATAATTCTTTTTAAAAAAATAATTATTGGATTTTATTTATTTATTTATTTATTTTATTTTATTTTATTTTATTTTGACCAGAGAGGGATAGAGAGAGAGAGAGGGAAAAGGAAAGTGAGAAAACAAGCTGCCACATCTGGGACTCAAACCGTAGTTGGTCATGCCAGAGCCCAGCGCCCTTGACCACCATGCCACCTGCCAGCCTCGTGTAGCTTAGACACAAGATAATTACTAACAATTATTGAGTGCCTTATATGTTGAGTATGGTGCTAGGTGTTTGTGTGTGTTGTGTGACAGAGGGAGAAAGAGAGAGAGAATATGTGTTGGTGGTAGAAACGCTGCCTCTTTGGTTCAGTAATGTGTCCATGGACATACCGTTGGTAAAAGCAGCAAAGCTGCAATTCAAACCCAGAGCATTGCATTTAGAAATCTTGCACTTGCCACTCTGCCATACCTTCCTTCCTTCTTCCTTCCTTCCTCTCTCCCTCCCTCCCTCCCTCTCTCTCTCTTTCTCTCTCTCTCTTTCTTTCTTTCTTTCTTTTTTTTGGAGAGGTTTTTGCTATAGGGCACATGCACTTGCCAGAAAGACAGAGAGAGACAGAGAGACAGAAAGCGAGAAATCACTCCCTAGGGAGGATGGCCACACTACAATCCCTTCTCCTCCATTCTCCTCTCGGGATCTTGGACATGCACTCCCGGCTTGAGTTTAAGACATCGGGTCCAGGACTCGAACTGCTGTCAACTACATGGGAGTCCAGTGACACAGTCATTTCGCCAACTGCTGGTCCCACCACACATTTCTTACATTACTAACTTTTTGTATTTTATATATTTATATATTAGAGATCAAATACATGAATGAAGCAGCTTCATTTCAATCGGTGAAAATATGTTACTTTATAAAACTGTAACTGCAAATAAGAACGTAATTGGACTTGCTGGGGTGTTTTACATACTTTCTCTTACAGAACGCTAAATGCCTTGGATTGCATTAGTCACTGAGCCATTGTTGTTAGTATCCAGAAAATGAGCTCTTGTTCCTTGAAAGTAAAGAAGTATGGCAAAAAACCAGTCTGAGGAAAAAACCCCAATGGTTGTTAAAGAACCTTCGTATTCTACTTCTGCCATTCAAAGTTCTCTTCTAATTGTAATGTACATGCATTTTGTTAGTTAAAACTTTTCAGAGCTAAAAACAATGTGCTTTTTTGTTCAAAACAAAGAGTATCTTTTGATCTTTGTTAATATATACACATATATATTTAGCACAAATTTTCAGCCTAGAACAATGAACTTTTTCATTGGCAGTAAGAAATGCAGAAAAAAATCTAAATCTGAGCTCTCAGTATGAATCTATTAGAATTATGAAGCTACATAAGGTTAGGCAGGACACACAATCAGAAGGAATGTAGATAGAGTTGTATCATTTATCTCTGGTGCTCAATTTTAATGTAAAAAGCACATTTCAGACTTATCGTGAGAAATATAGTCAGGTTTTTAAATTTATATTCGACATGTATTTGTTTCACCTACTATGTGCTAGGTGAATTCTAGGCTTTGACCCCAAATTTTAAAATTTGAATGTGTTGAGGTTGGCCCTGTAGCCTAGTGGTTAAGGAAACTGAATCCCATAGTTCTGACCGCAGTTTGCATCTCAGTCCTAGATGCTTGAAAAACATGCCATCTACTTGTGTGTGTATGCCCCAAATCCCCACAGGATGGAGAAATGGAGATTGTAGTGTGATCATGCCCCACAGAGAGATGTTGTTCCCTTTGCCTCTGTTTTTCTGTCTCTGGTGAGCACTCTGGCAAAAAAAAAAAAAAAAGATTTATTTTAAATTTCAGTCAAACCTTTCACACTACCATAAAGCAATATTGCTTGCTTCTAAGTTATGGATTCTTTCATATAATTGGTTTTAGTGAAATATTTTAATGTTAGCATGAAATTTTTTTTTTTTTTGAGGTTTTTGCTATAGGGTACGTGCGCTCGCCAGACAGACAGAGAGAGACATAGAGACAGAAAGCGAGAAATCACCCCCCATTGGGGATGGTCACGCTGCAATCCCTTCTCCTCCATTCTCCTCTCGGGATCCTGGGCACGCACGCACACGTGCCCAGCGTGAGTTTTAAGCCACTGGGTCCCGGACGTGAACTGCGGTGGACTGCGTGGGAGTCCAGCGACATAGCCACTACGCTAACTGCTGGTCCCAGCGAGAAAATTTTTAAATGAGGGAACTGCTTCCTGGCTTGTTTATTTGTTTTATAGGATGTAGTTACTAGCTGCTTCTTTGTTATTTATAGAATTTACTATCTAAAGTTAGTTTTTTCAGATATATGGATAATAGCATCTCTAACCAAGATAGTGTTAGTGGAGTGTTTCAATTGATACCATAATTCAGAAGTAAATTTATAGGCTGGCCCTGTGGCCTGGTGGTTAAGGGAGCCAGATCCCACATGACCAACTGTGTGGTTCAAATCCCAAGCTCAATGACTTGTAAAACATGCCAGGCACATGTGCATGCATGCCCAAACTCCCAATGTTACAGAGAAATGGAGTAGAAGGGATTGCGTGGTGACCAAGTCTCACTGGGACACTTCCCCTTCCTCTCCCTTTCTCCCCCTTCCTCTCTCTCTCTCTTTTTCTGTCAAGTGTACGAGCCCTGTGGCAAAGAAGAAAAAAATGTATAAGGTGCTTTTCCACCCACTCCCCCCCCGCCGCCCCCTGACCCCTGAGCGATGACCCGGCTGCACCACGCTGGCTCCTAGAGCCCGGGCTCCTACTCAGCAAGCGCCGCCGTTGTTTCCCTCCAGCAGCTACCACGATTATCTACCGGGACCTCATAGCCACGATGAGATGTTCTCTGACATTTACAAGATCAGGGAAATCGCTGACGGGCTGTGCCTGGAGGTGGAGGGGAAGAGGACAGAGGGTAACATCGATGACTCGCTCATTGGTGGAAATGCCTCCGCTGAAGGCCCTGTAAGCACAGTAGTCACTGGTGTTGACACTGTCGTGAACCATCACCTACAGGAAACCAGCTTCACAAAAGAAGCCTACAAGAAGTACATCAATGATGACGTGAAATCAATCCAAGGCAAACTTGAAGAATAGAGACCAGAAAGAGTAAAACCATTTATGACAGGGGCTGCAGAACAAATCAAGCATATTCTTGCTAATTTCAAAAGCTACCAGTTCTTTATTGGTGAAAACATGAATCCAGATGGCATGGTTGCTCTACTGGACTACCGTGAGGATGGTGTGACCCCATATATGATTTTCTTTAAGGACGGTTTAGAAATGGAAAAATGTTAACAAATTTGGCAATTACTTTGGATCTATCGCCTGTCATCATAACTGACTGCTGCTTGTCATCCACAAAACACCAGGACTAAAGACAAATGGGGCTGATGTCATCTTGAGCTCTTCATTTATTTTGACTGTGATTTATTTGGAGCGGAGGCATTGTTTTTAAGGAAAAAAAAAAACATGTCATGTAGGTTGTCTAAAAATAAAATGCATTTAAACTAAAAAAAAAATGTATAAGAAGAATATTTATTTTGTCATCAGCAAGCATAAGTAAGCATAATACCTGGGGTCCCATCTAAACAGTGTTGATCTGCTTCCATTTCAGTGCCTTGTACTTATGGGTCAGTCCTGGCTGAAGAAGTTTGGTTACTACAAGATTATCTTAATTTCTTTCTACCTAGAAGGAATAGCCTCCATTTCCATGTTATGTCTGGGCCGGGAATACTATTACTGTTTGGCTCTTTATCTCACTATTATCATGTAAGTAAATGCTAGTTTAGTAGGTCTTGTCATTCACCCTTTCAAGCAGTGAAACATCTTTGTTTTGAACTGAGTTTCATAGCATGATCATTGCATATCTCTGCCAGATTGAATGTTAACAGCTTGTTTTTAGTTTTCGCTCTTGTTTTTGTTTTGAGAGGTTTTTGCTATAGAGCACATGCACTCGCCAGAAAGACAGAGAGAGACAGAGAGACAGAAAGTGAAAAATCACCCCTCAAGGAGGGATGGCCACACCACAATCACTTCTCCTCCCTTCGCTCTTGGGCACACACGCACACGTGCCCAGCGTGAGTTTAAGCCACAGGGTCCGGGGCTCGAACTGCAGTTGATTACATGGGAGTCCAGCGACATAGCCATTATGCCAACTGCTGGTCCCAACAGTTATTTTTGGGGAGGAATTTCCTTGCACTACCTTTATAGTGAAGTTTATTTATTTACTTTAATAAATTCTTTTTAAAAAAGAATTATTTAATTTTGTTTGTTCTTATTACTTTTTTAATTTGACTAGAAAGAGAGAGAAAGGGAAAGTGAGAAAAGTAAGCTGCCAGGTCCAGGATTTGGACCATAGTTGGCCACATGGGAATACAGAGCCGTAACTACCACACCATCTCTCGGCCCTACCTTAGTACATTCTGCTGCCAGGAATGAAAGAAGCTGAGCTTCCATTTTTCCTTCAACTCTTTCTCCTATTTCTATAACCTCTCCTCTTCCTAAGCACCCACTTCTCCCCCAATGCAAGCATCTAAAATTCCACACAACCAAATAAAGCACCTTGTCCTCCAACATCTGCTCTTTGCTCCCCACCCCCCAACTTTGCTTTTATTCACTATCTTGGAATGTTTCCACCATTTATCTAATTGTCCAAGTTAGGGATTAAGAAGCTTTTTTTGCTTTCTCTCTCAGACGCATACATCTCACAATTGCTACCAATAATTAGCAATTTTGTCTCTCTAGTATGTTCTGAATTCATCACTTCTCTTACCATTCATTTAGCTCAGGTCCTCATCATCTCTTACCTGGAATAGACCCTCCTGTTATGGTCCCCTTGCTTCTTGTGTTCATGCGCTCCAGCCCTGTCTTCCATATTTCTCCTAGAATAACGTGTCCTCCCTTTGTCTAACAATCTCAAGTAGCTTCTCATTGCTTTCAGGATATATCCAAATTATAACATAAGAAGTTCTGTGTTATGTAGGCCTTCTTTACTTCTTCGTCCTCATTTCTTATTACTCCTCCACTTCTGCTGTACTCTCTGTTACACAGGGATACTTTGCCATTCCTTCAGACAGCTCTGTGTCCAACAGATGCATTTCCCTGTGCGCGGAAAGCTCCTCTCTAGCTCTTGTTCGCCCTCTCCTATCTCTCTAGTTTCTTCGGCTGAGCTCAGAAACGTACTTCAAGCCTTCCTTTACTTCCTCATATGAATTTTCTCATATGAATATTTCCTCATGTAACTCCTTGTATATGACCCCAAAATCCTATGCATCTCTCTGCTGTAGTACTTATTCCCCAGCTGTGTGGTACCCCTGTGGATTGAGTTTATTTTGAATAGGGCCTAGTCTCTTATCAGTTGGGCCCATTACATATTGCAGTTTCTACAGACAGTTGATCCTTTGAAAATGTCTTCTGAGTGAATGAATTAGTAAATCCTATTCTAGGTTTCTGTTGGAACAATTAGAGAAAATTATCATGAACGTTTATGTGCATTTTGAACAAATTGGGAGAGAGTAGCAACTGACCCAAAGGTTGACTCTCTATGGAACTTTCAGACATTAGAACCTCACATAAATAACTACTCTGTAGGCCCATAGGCCATGGCTATATCATATTTGAACTGATTTTTTCTTTAAGAATTATTTCATTTAACTTTATTTATTTATTCATTTATTTATTTATTTTAATTGAACCAGAGAGGGACAAAGTGAGAGAGAGAGAGGGAAACTAAGAAAGCAAGCTGTCATTTCCTGGACTTGAACTGTGGTTGGTCATGTGGGAGTCCAGCACCCTTAACCACCACAGTCCCTTGAACTGATACTTTTATAGTGATTTTTAGAATGAAAAAATTTGTTTGCTTTTTTAAAACTCACACATTTCCCCTCATTTTTACTTTTCTATGGTAATTAAAATGTTATACACACTTGTATAGTTCTTAGCTTATTCTATATTCTTTATATCAAGAGAAAGATTTTTAATAAATTTCCTGGCAAAGTCTGCTCCTAAGAAGCTATCCATAACTTAAGCAGATTTGTTCAATAGTAGTCATTTTGAAATGAAGAAAACAAAAGGCATAAAAACCATTTTTTAAAAATCCCAAGTGAAAGTAGTTATTTCACTTTTAAAACAGAATTACATATTCATAGATATATAATATTTAGGGGGTAGAAGTGTGTATCTAATCTATCTTTACTTTCATAATATACTATTTCATTTTTCCTTCTTGCAGAAAAATTTTAACTTTCATTTAATGTATATGTGTTTTTAGAATAAAATTTGTGACTCCTAGTTGTAAAATGTTCACGTGTGTCTTTTTAAAAAATTTCTTAGGGTGCTCGTGCAAGGTTCTTTTTGCTTGTTTAACCTGCCACTAACTGACATAGTCGATGAAAATTTACTGAAGTTCAATCAGAAGTAAGTATATTTATTCAAATATAAGCTACAAAAATGTCACACGCATGTAAAGCCTATCAGAGTCTCCATATCTCAGTTATATTGCCTCTACAAATCTCTTATATGAAAGATGATCATAAGAGGCACCATTGGGAACTAGGGCACAGAATATAATAGGATCTGCATAGTTGTTTGCTCTGGGCAACTTTTCTCCACTCTGAAAGGGCATCATAATTTTTGTCCTTCAGGTTCACAGAGCCTAAAACAGAGTTAAATCTCAAGAAACCGAAGTGAAATCTCAGTTAGTTTTACATTCTGCATATGCAGTACACACTGGATGATAAGGCAAAATGCCCTTTGCTCTGTGACATTGCAAGATTTAAAGTGAAAAGTCAAGGTCTTTCTTATCCTTTCTAACTTGAAAAAGTCTCAGTGATGATAATAGGTTTCTTTCTTTCTTTTTTTTTGAGAGAGATTTTTGCTATAGGGCGTGTGCATTCACCAGAAAGACAGAGAGAGACAGAGAGACAGAAAGCGAGAAATCAGCCCCCAGGGGGGGATGGCCATGCTGCAATCCTTTCTCTTCCATTTTCCTCTTAGGATCTTGGGCATACACGCACATGCGCCAGGCATGAGTTTAAGCCACCGGGTCCGGGACTCAAACTGTGGTCGACTCAAACATGGGAGTCCAGTGATGTAGCCATTATGCCATCTGCTGGTCCCAATAGGTTTCATTTTTTGGTATGATGACAAGAATTTAGAGCAGCTAAAAAATCCACTCAGTTGACAAATATTTCTGATATGAGTCCTACTTTATGGGTTAAAGAGGAACATATTACTTTAAGACAGTGGCACTTACTTAATTTTTTTAGTTTGCCAGAGGACATGTGCATTCACCAGAGAGAGAGAAAAGAGACAGAGAGAGAAGCGAGAGAGAGAAAGATAAATGGAAAGTCTCCCCATGGGCATGGTCACACCTCAATCCCTTCTCCATTTCTCACTTCTTTGGGGATTCTGGGCATGCACACACGTGTGCCTGTTGTGTTTCTCAAGCTGCCAGGTCCAAGACTCAGAATGCATGGTCAGCCATCTGGGATCCAGCTGCCTTAACCACAGGGCCACAGCTGGCCTGAGGCACAATTTAAAAAAAGAATTATTTATTTAATTTTATTGATTATTATTATTTTTTAAAGAATTATTTTATTTAACTTTATTTATGTATTTATTTTAATTTGACCAGAGAGAGAGATAGAGAGACAGAGAGAGAAAGTGAGAAAGCAAGCTACCAGGTCCAGGACTCGAACCATGGTCGGCCATGTCGGAGTCCAGTGCTCTTAACCACCATGCCACCTGCTGGCCCCCTTATTATTATTTTTTTTAATTTGACCAGAGAAAGAGACAGAAATGGAAAGGGACGGAAAGTGAGAAAGCAAGCCACCAGGTCCAAGACTCAAACAACAGTCTGCCATGTGAGAGTCCAGTACTTTAACCACCATGCCATCTGCTGGCCCAAAATGCATGTTGTTTTTTTTTTAAGAATTATTTTGTTTTAACTTTATTTATTATTATTATCATTATTATTTTCCAGTTTGATCAGAGAGAGACAGAGAGAGAGAGAGGAAGTGAGAAAGCAAGCCACCAGGTCCAAGACTCAAACAACAGTCTGCCATGTGAGAGTCCAGTACTTTAACCACCATGCCACTTACCGGCCCCAATGCATGTTTTTTTTTTTTTTTAATTAACTCTGTTGAAACATTTATACTGCATGGTCTCTTTTTTATTTTAAAGCAATTTAAATTGAAGAAGGCTTTGCCAGCTGCTTAATTTCCTCCTTCTATAATTCCTTTCCTGTTTCAGGGTTTTGTTTCAGGTTTACTAGGTCACACTTAGAGTGATGAGCAAGATGGTAGGCTCAGGACAATTTGGGACCATGTACTCATTCTGTGTCCCTTGTCTAGAAAAGTAACTGGCTTCAAAATACTTTTAAAAATTTGCTTGCTTGGGGACCAGCAGGTGGCGTGGTGGTTAAGGTGCTGGACACTCCCACATGACTGACCATGATTTGAATCCTGGACCTGGTAGCTTGCTTTCTCACTTTCTCTCTCTCTCTCTCTGATCAAATTAAAAAATAAATGAATGAATAAATAAAATTAAATGAATAATTCTTTTTATTTTTTTTTGAGAGATTTTCACTGTAGGGCACGTGCGCTCGCCAGACAGAGAGAGACATAGAGACAGAAAGCGAGAAATCACCCCCCAGGGGGGATGGTCACAATAATTCTTTAAAAAAGTAACCAACTAACTGTAAAATAACATTTAAAAAGATTTGCTTTCTTTATTCATGGTAGAGCATGTACACATGAGAATATGTATGTATGAGAGAGAGAGAGAGAGAGAGAGAGAGAGAGAGAGAGAGGGAGAGAGAGAGGGAGAGAGAGAGATGTGAGCAATCTCCACAGGGTCTGGTCATGTCACGATCTCCTTCCCCGAGTCTTCCAGCCCATGGGGTCTTGGACATTCATGTGCATGCCCAGATGTTTCAGTCAGATTGGGCTTGGGATTCACACCATAGTTACCATGTGGGCTCCAGAGCTGCCCCCAGATTATACATGATAAGTTAACAAACAGTGTCTTCAGTAAACACCTTACACCTTTCACATTCTTTTTGAATGAGAGGGATCATACATAAATAATATGTCTCAGATATTAGAAATGACACCAATATTTGCCAAATGCCATGTGGGTATACACCCTATTGTTATTTGTAAGTTCAAGTCTCACAGCAGCATTAGAGAAGAAGGTTTTGTATTGTGGTGAGAAGAAACAGGTGCAGCTGCTGCCCTCATGGCACTTACCAGTCTAGTGGAGGTGACAGAACAATTATGTTATACAATCATAATTACCCCCATTTCAGGAAACTAAGACACTTTGGTAGTTAACTTCCCCTGCATAATATTCGGTCATTGGAAAAGTCATGATGTATTTTTTTGTTTTTCTGTGCAAAAATGCATCACTACTTTTCCAATGACCCAATATAACCCAGGAGATAGAAGAACTGGGAATGAAACCCAAGTACTGACCATCAAATCAAACTTCCTCAAATTCTCTGGCCTCATTCTTCTCTTTTGCATTCCCTTTTCTCATATTCTCTTTTTTAAAAAGATTTATTTTATTTTATTTATTATTGTTATTATTATATTTTTAAATTCGACCAGAGAGACACAGTGAGAGAGAGGGAAAGTGAGAAAGCAAGCTGCCAGGCCTGGGACTCAAACTGCAGTCAGCCATGTGGGAATCCAGTGCCTTAATCACCACACCACCTGCCAGCCCCTCTCCTATTGTTCTTTTATTAAAAAATTTTTTCTAGGATGATTTAATTTTATTTATTTGTTAATTTATTTTAATTTGACCAGAGAGAGACACAGAGTGAGAGAGAGAAAGAGGGAAAGTGAGAAAGCAAGTCACCAGGTCCAGGACTCAAACCATGGTCGGCCATGTGAGAGTGTCCTGCACCTTAACCACCACACCACCTCCTGGTCCCACCTCTACTATTGTTTTTTGTCTTCTTTTCCTCCTCCTTCATTGCAAGATTTCCATCATTAGTTGAGATATAATTATTTCAGTTTATTCGATGTACTTGATCAACTTTATATGCATGTTAATAAAAAATAATGTTAATTTGCCAGAGGGCATATGTGCTCACTAGAGAGAGACAGAGAGAGAGGAAAAGTGAGAAAGCACTCCTTTTGGAGCATGGTCATGCAATCCTTTCTCCCCCATCTCTCCCTACTTTTGGGATGTTGGGCACGCACATACATGTTTTTCAAGCCAGTGGGTCTGGGACTCGAATAGTGCAGTGGCATGTGGAATCCAGCTCCTGAGCTACCTGACCATGGCTGGCCCTAAAAAAAAATAATGTGGTAGTATTCTTACTAGGAATACACTTAAGTAATTCTTAATGAAAGTTGGGCAGAAAAACTTAGGGAAGAATCTCAATTCTACCATTTACTAGCCATGCAACTATGGACAAGTTCATGTATTTTTTCATGTCTGTAATAAAGGAGTGCTAATACCTTCCCCATGGGATTGTTGTGTCACTTAAAGGAAATGATACCTGTCATGCACTTTTACCATTGTACATGGCACATATAGCTCTTACTGAGCATTTACGAAACTAGTTGTGACTTCTCTTTGGATCTGAGTTTCTTCATTTAAGAATTAAGTTCTGGGACCAGCAGATGGCATAACAGTTACATCACTGGACTCCTACATCGCTGACCATTGTTCAAGTTCCTGTGGCTTCAAACTCGCACTGGGCATGTCATGTGTGTGCGTGCCCAAAATCCTGGGAGGAGGATGGAGGATTGTGGCGTGGCGATCCCCCCCCCCCCCGGCGTGCGGCCCCCCCCCCCCCCCGGGGAGTGATTTCTCACTCTTCCTCTCACTGTCTCTGTCGCTCTCTGGCAAGTACACATGCCCTAAGGCAAAAACCTCTGAAAAACAAACAAACAAACTCAGTTCTAGGGCAGGCATATGGCACAGTGGTTGGGGTGCTAGATCCCACATAGCTGACTCCATGGTTTGAGTGACAGCCTGAAAAACACACTGGGCATGTGTGTAGTGCATGGCCCAAAACCTAGGAGGAGACTGGAGGAGAGGGATTACTGTGTGGCCATCTCCCCTGTGGAGTGATTTATCATTTTCCCTTTCTCTTGGTCTGGCAAGCACATGTGCCCTACGGCAAAAAAAAGAAAAAAAAAAATCTTAAAAAAAAAGACAAGAATTGAGCTCCTCTAGTTCTAGAACACCTTATAACTAAGGACTTAATATTTTATCATTACTATACTATTTCTATTATTGTTTACTTAGAGTCAAGGAGGACTTCAAAAACAAAGAAGTCTTTGACACATATGGGAACTTGGAAGAGTTCATGACAAAATGGAATTAAAATATGTTTATTTTTGGTGCAAAAATAAACCACCCAGCAGGTGGCATGGTGGTTAAGGTGCTGGACTCCTGCATTGTTGACCATAGTTCAGGTCTTGAATCTGGTGGCTTGTTTTCTCACTTTCTCTGTGTGTCTCTCTTTGGTTAAATTAAAAAAAATAATAATAAATGAAATTGAATAGATAATTCTTTAAAAAATGTTTTGAAATCCATGCACAGTTTTTTCATAATATGCATTTTCTGTGAACGTTTTGAAGACACCCTCTTCTATATACCTGTCTAACAAGTCATTTGTGTGTGGTAAAGACCCCTGCTGTTTTTGTCAGTTCCAGGTTGCCTCTTTTCTCAGTGGTTTTTGGCATCAATGCTTTGTTTACCAAACCTGCCCAGTCTTTAGCTCCCATGATGATACTCTCTTCGCTAAGCCAGTACGTATATGGAAGCTCAAACAGCAGGTAATGTAAAAAAAACTTTTTTTGAAATAGTATAAAAGAAATATGGAAGCAAGCTCAGCCTTTCATATTAACTGCTAAGCAATTATCTTGGACTTCGGTTATTATTAGTCATGAACTCATACATCTTGAGAAAGATAATAAAATGTATGAATGCTAAAGGGACTTTAATTGGAGTCTCTTTGAGTATATTATTTAAATGATGTATACTGCATATGTATATGTCCATATAATTCACACTAAGCTACATATTGATTGCTTTATCAGTGATGCTAGCGCTGGGGGAGCTTTTGCAAATACTGCATTATAGTGAGTTACGCAATTATTTCATTAGATCATACACTGTAATAAAAATAGAAATAAAGTACACCATAAATGTAATGCACTTGAATCATCCTGAAACCAGCACCCACCCCCTACCCACACCATCCATTGGAAAAATCATCTTGCATGGATCTGGTCCCTGGTGCCAAAAAGGTTGAGGACTGCTAGACTAGAGGACAGATAATCGAGCACAAAATAGTGGGGCTATATCTGAAGGATTATGGTGGCTGAAAGGTGGGCATGATCATCACTGTTTTGGAGGCCAAGCCCAGCAAGTTCTCACGGAAGGAACGGTGGAGGCGTTATCACTGTGCATGGAGGTTGGAGGTCC